CAAATTACTCATGAGTATTTCTTGAAGATTTTATCTCAGCTTGAGTTTGACTCTCTTATAGGTTGTAAATGGATCATGGAGGAGAAAAAGCTGCTTTCTTTCCCCAGAATTCTCTAATACCCATCTGTTCTATGGGAATTATTTGTGAGCCTTAAAACTGTTTTCCCTTATTCCCCATTGGTCAGCTGGTTATGATCAGAAATGATATATCTCTTTGGGGGATCCTTAATAATTAGACAAATTCCTATCATCCTTTTTCTTTCAGTATTTTCAATAAATATGAGTGCCTCCTTGTGCCAGCTTTGTCCTAGGTCTTGAGAAGACAGTAATAAACAAAACAAAGTTATTGTCTATAGAGCTAATATGGAAAAATAGGCAATAAACAAATACATGTCAAGTACTCATAAATGCTGTGAATTAAATCAGGGTCAGGGAATAAAAAAATGATATTCTTAAAATGTAGCTTTATCATTCACATCTCTCAAAAAAGCCTATCAGCATGTTATATTCTCACACGGGGCGGGGGTTGGGGGAGGACAACTGATAAAGAAGTATGCTAAAAATACTGGTAAGGGTTATTTCTGATAATGGAATTACAGAAATTTTTGGGTTATGCTTTCACATATGTTTCCAAAGTATTCATTACCTTTACTCTTGGGGAGAAGAAAGTACTAATGAGGTCACATTTGCATTTAATGCAAACCTTCTTCATGTGCATCAAAGAAAGAAGCTGCTGAGACACTTGGGTGTCTCCCAAGTGATCTGACCATGGTAACACTTTCAGTTTCTGGAAAGGCCTCTGCTTCCTGTCACCTGTGATCAGTATCCTGTTATTTCCCCAGTTTGAGCAGAAGTGCTTGTCATTCATCCAAGATACATTTCCTAGTGTTTGGATCAATGCTGCATAGGTCATTTATTCTGATGCAGAAATATAGAAAAAAGTACAAAGCTTCATGTAGCATGTTCTTCATATAAAATTTCACATTTTATATTAATTTATTTCATAATGTGCATTTCACAATATTTCAGTCATATCCACCCTAATTCAGCACTGTTGCCAAATGTATTTTGATTCCTGTAAAAACTATGGTACAACAGCAGAAAAAAAGGATAAAGCAAATTTTTCAGCCCCTTCAGTAAATGAACCCAACTTTTTTTTTTCCTTCACCACCCTTCACCAATCAGGAGAGTGTCTATACCTTGCTCAGACTGCTACAAAACTGGGAGTATCACAGGGAGGAGAAAGAAGGAAAAGCCTGCTACAACAGCATGACAAGGCTGGACTCGATTCTGTGGGACTCAGCAGATATGTGTTAGTAAAAAGCGTTCTCTGTAACTAAAGCTATAGGATGTCCTGTACTCTGGACTTCTTACATCTTCAGGCTCAGAGTTGCTGCCCTAAAGGACTAATTTTCCTATGTTTTACCTACCCTTTTATTGTTCCCTCTATCCTATGACTGTCTTGGTAACAAAGCAAGCAAAAATAATAAATAAGAATTAAACACACATAAATTGAATTTTATTGTATTTCATTTCTTTTCATCAGTCTCTTTCATATCCTTTCTCATAAAAAAAAATATGTTTTCCTTCTCTTCTGTTTTTGTCCATGGCATACTCATTGTTGGAGGTAAGGGCACACTTTACACATTTAAATGGGTGAGTGGAAACACTTTTGCTTTATAACTACTTTGTACAAAGATGAAGAAGTTGAAAAACAATAAAGAGAATTTTTCTGTGCTGCTTTGTTTGCTCTGTCTTACACTTTCCTTGAGAATCTCTTCCCTGCTTCCTTTGATTCTTTCCTTTGTTTTCTCTCTACTTTCCTATATCAAGCAGCAATTCCATAATTATTTGACTTTATTGTAGCCTTTATATCTGAACAGGTGGCACCTGTCTTAAAGTATAATAGATCAGTTCATTCCAAATGAAAACATTAGTCCACTTGGTAAGTGCAATCAATATGATGGGGTAGATAGATTTCCATGCCTGTGGAACAGTGGTTAAATTATTACTTTTGCAATTATTGTTCTTTCTGCCTAGAATAGCTGTCTCTCCCCCACTTCCATCTGTTTGGCATACTCTAGTCCTTATGTGGAAGGCCTTACTCTGAAGTCATTACTTCTTTGATCTTTTTTCTTGATGCTCCCAGATAGTTAGTGACTTTTTTTTTTTAAGATTTATTTATTAATTTATATAAGCACTGGGTACAGTCAGAAGCGCGGGAAGGTGAGAGAATTCACCAGAACCAGAGCGGGGAACAGAACAGGCAGACTGGCAAAATACACTGCTGAGGGGAGCAGCGGGTGAGGCAGGAGAGGTCTGCATGCCATTGGGGACCCTCACCGGTGGCCGGGGATCAAAGAGTTGCTGCAGAGGCTGTGGGCAGCTTTGCAGCCCTGAGCTCAACCGCTGCGCCACCAGGGGCGGCCCAGTGGGTGACTTCTACTACAGGTTTTTCATCTCTTGCTAATAACTCATTTAAGATTGTTAACACCTCTCTCACTAGACTGTGAGCTTCTCAGGGGTAGGAACTGCGTCTTTCTCTTTTTTTGCATTTTGATTGTTCTTTCTTTTGGATTACCTTATTCCCCATTTTCAGCCTTGCAATTAAGTAAGGGTGACATATCAGTCATAGATAACCGTAATACAAATGAGAGTGCAATCAGTGCCACAAAGAAGGAGAAAATCTCTTCTTGCTGTGGAAATGAGAGATACTGAGGTTATCCAGCCTTTGTGGATGGGTTATTATTAAGAAGGACTTGCCAGCTATATTTGCAATTCATGCTGATCATGATTTTATAGTACTGAAAGACTTCATGAAAGCAGTCAGTAGAATGGCTGATTCCAAGAAGCTAGAGTCTAAATTGGACTACAAACCTGTGTAATTTACTATAAGGTTTTTGATAGCTGCATGACAAATTTTAGCTTAATGTAAAAATAAAATTAAGGAAAAGAATGTCTGTATTGGCAATGATCTCATTAAAAGAATAAAAATATGTAGGGATAATATTGCAAAAATTAGCATTTCAGTAATTCTACTTTTAGATTAGGACAGAAGAACTTTGTGTGTTTGTTAGTGTTGCTTATTTTAGCAGAAGTTATAAAAGTATGTTGAAATTTTTCATATTTGCTGTGTGAGCATTTTGTAAAACACTGAAGACAGTATGACATAGTAGTACAGGACAGCATTTCTTATCACTTATATCATTTGTTTTCCTCATCCTAAAAAGTTGAGTAAAATCTCTTTGATTCAGTTCTCCTAAAAAAATAAAAATAGGGCCTCTCTAGTGGCCTCAGGGTTGAATATCAGTGCTATCACCGCTACGACCTTAGTTTGATCCCCAGCCAGGAAGCTGAACACATATGGCAGTGCAAACCTCTCCTGTCTTGCTCGCTACTCCCCTCAGCAGTGTATTTCAAATAAATAAATAAATGAAATAAAAATAAAAAGGGCTCGAAGGATGAGTGTGAACATCAAATTTATGGTGTCTGATTGTTTTTGCTTTTTGATGTCTTTATTAGAAATAGTTTAAATGCATAGGAATTATTTGACACATATTCCAAAGCCTTAAGCATTTTACCTAGACTTAGTTAATCATAAAAGGAATACATAATGTAAAAGGAATACAATGTGCTAACTATGTGGACTTAGGCTTAAATTTAGAAGTTAATATTTGGAATTAGATAATTTTTATCTGAGTGTTACCAACCAAAGGAGGACATGAAATCTGATGTTTTTATGTCCTCTTAATTGATTTTCTTTATTTACTTTAGCCACAGACCCATTTGCTTCTGTTTTTGGAAATGAATCATTTGAAGATGGATTTGCTGACTTCAGCACATTGTCAAAGGTAATCTGCCATGATTTATGGGAAGCTAAAATATACTGTTTCCACCAAGGAGCAATCCTTCCTTTCAGTTATCTAACTTCTCACAGATAGTGCAGCTTGATTTCAATTAATCACAGTAGATGTTGATTTCAGATAGAAATAATATATAATTAAAGTAGACATTTCTATATGTAAAGACAGTGGTGACAATACAGGCAATTATAATTTTCTATTGTTGGCTCTGTTCACTTGGGTCTGCTCTGTCTTTAAACATGTTTCTTCCAGTTGAACTACACTTTCCCCTGTTGACTGCCTGGGGCCATAGGTGAAAAAATCTGAGTATTCATTTTATCCTCTGCATTAGTTACTTGATTCTATGTTCTGAGACTTTAGGGTCAGTATTAAAGATAATAAATATACATAGTCCAGCACTGTATGTGCACCACCAGTGTAACTCAGCTGGTTCAGGCCAAGAGAGAAAAAAATAGTGTATATATTATTGTTCATATTATTTGTTCTCACCTGGGCATTATACCTCCTCCTCAATTCCCATGGAAACATGTGACTAGAGAGACACTTGGTTTTCAAACTATGGGGAGAGGGGTATTCTTATCTAGTAGATAGGGTTCTGGGATGCTTTTTAAACATTCTACAATGAACTGTCCAGCCTCCCACAACACAGCATTATATCCAACCCAAAATATCAATAGTGCTACTGTAGGGAATCATTGGGCTAAATAGATCTAAACTCATAGTCTGGTTTATAATAGAAAAGTGAATACTTATCAAATAGAAAATCCAGAAATAAACCCACAGATTTATGGTCAACTAATCTTTGATAAAGGAGCAAAGAATATGCACTGGAGCAAAGAAAGTTTGTTCAGTAAATGGTGCTGGGAAAACTGGGTCGCTACATGCAAAAGAATGAAGTTCGACTACTACCTCACACCATGCACAAAAACCAACTCAAAATGGATTAAAGAACTAGACATAAGACCTGAAACCATAAAATATATAGAAGGAAATACAGGCAAAACATTCCATGATATGCACATCAAAGACATCTTTACAGACACATCATCCAAAGCAGTGATAGTGAAGGCAAAGATAAACAACTGGGACTACATCAAATTAAAGAGCTTCTGCACAGCAAAAGAGACAATAACAAAAACAAAGAGTGCCGGGGACCAGCCTCCAGCAAAACGTCTTGTCAGGGGTTCCTGAAAGGATGAGACGGCCTAGGCGAAAACGAAAGAACTGAAAACTTAAGGGCTGAGGGGAAGGGGATGAGGTAGAATGAGGAGACACTGACACTTGGTGAGGTGCTAGTATCTTCTGCCGAGAGACTCAGCAGGTCTTTATTTATTCATTATTAGTAATAATAATAAGAAAATACATTATCATGTGTAAAGCATAAACAATTAGTATATTATGTTTCCCATAGACTACTGGCCCCTACAGGTCTCAGCTAGACGGCAGCTTTCAAGGTTAACAGATAATAAACCAAACCTAACATTAAAGCTACTTATTTTTTCATTCAGACAATTATTTAAAACAGTGAATAACCGCCAGTGCATCCCTATCAGCTAAAGCCTAAGCATCAAAGGACTATTCTATTCACATGACCTTCAGCTGGAGACCAGCTGCAGTTCAGCTATCAGAACTTTTTCTACCTAGAAATTCCTTAACTCAAATAGCTTCATATTAAAAACTTTCCCAAGAAACTTCAAGAGAAAACAAAATAGAAGGACCTGCTATGATTATTGTATTGTAATGCTTGTCAGGCATATTCAATAAGTTGTCTTCCATTGTCAAGTAGGCCAAATTGTTTAATAATTAGTTTCTAATTTTCCATGCCGTTTATTTGCAATATACTGATGCATATAATATAGTGCCTAATGTACTTTTTTGGGAAATTTTTTCTTATTTATGACCAAGAACAGAAAGTGAAGGAATGTTACATCTTCAACCTCACGGTGTGAGGCACAAGGAATCTTCAGCCCCACGGTGTGAGGCCCTTTGGCTTCGGCCCCACGGTGTGAGGCCCTTTGGGCTTCACTGCTTGCCAGTGTCTTATCTGGCTGGGGCATCAAGGCCTCCTGCAGCACCTCCCCCTTTTTTGTTTTTGGCCATCATTTGCATAGTTTGCAACTCAACACGTGTCTGATTGATAGCACGGAAAAGCAATTTAATAAACAATGGGAAGAGTATCAATATAATTATGGTGACAAGCAAAACAACACCTAAAGTAATAAATGATGGGAACCAGGCGGCCTTAGTGGTATAATGTTGCAAGGAAGCCAGGAAGGAAGCAGCAACTTCTGCAGGTGTGGAGGAGGGGGCATGAGCTAAACTAATTGCCTTAATATTTTTCTGCAGAGCAGTAAGGTCCAGGGAAATGTTTGTATTATTTCAAACACCCAGTAAATGATTTTTGACATTATTTTAAGAAACAGAAGAAGAGTTATAAACATGTGAAGTGACACAAATTCATTTGTAATCAGAATGACATTTGGTAGTCAAATGCGTTTTTATGTGTTGAATTTGATTGCCAATATGTAAAAGTGATTCCTCAAGAACATTTAAACGAGCTTCAAACTTATTATCAATGTGGTCTTGGATAATCAAAGCGTGTGTGATGTTACGAGACAAATCATTAACATGGGAGGCAGTGTGAACTTGTTGCACGAGAGTAGTAGTAGAAACAGCAACAGAACTAATAATAGCAATAAGTGCCGTAATACCCAGTATAAGTGCCGCTACAAACCTTTTGGAGCGACGCAGTCCCTGTCCCACAAGCTGAAGAGTATACAGTCCAATGTCATCATACCACGGCTGTTGTAAGCTTACAGGGAGCATGACATAAGGAGGTTGATGTAAGATAACAAAAGTAGCTTTAGACAATGAGCCAACAGAGGTAATACAGTTGGTGAGAATGCAGTCAGTACAATTAACATGAAAAACATGGTGATGATAAGTAATGGTTAATAGTCTGGGGCCCTCAACAAGGAGGGTATAAGGGGGTCCCACACAAGCCCCTACGGTGGAAGCATTAACAGAATGTCCAGGTCGGCGAAAACGCACAGGTGAAGTGGCGGCAAGGAGGTGAAACAAGTCCGGGTATGCACGGGAACCATTTGAAGTGTTGACAATGTAGGCGGGAGTAATCCATCCCGCTGAATACCACCGGGTGACAGGTTCCAGAGGTGGAATGAAGTGATTCGACCGGTTGTAGATGAGAGCGTCCTGCAGGAGAAACCTATAGTCCTTGGGGACATTAGTGGCGGATGTACCTGCTCCAAGCACTGAAAAATCATAAACAGAAAGATTAGTCTGGTAAGGCTGGTAGCGAAGTCCTGCAGAGGGAAACGTACAAGTATGCCAAGTGGGAAATCCATGATCTCCGTCAATAGTATTCCGGGAGTCATCTGAGTTGTAAATTGAACAGGCTGGGAGAGTGGAGGACACTGAAACTCGAGCTATGTTTTCATTAGTGCTGCGAGGACCAAGGAGAGATAAAAGCAGTACCCATAAATCACGGTTAGGTCTGGAGGAGGAAGGCTTTTGGAGATCCTGTTTAAAAATACTTGTCATTAATAGGTAGGCAGCCAGGTAGTTGAGACTTTATATAGTCAAGATTAGATGTAAAACACATAGGAGGAGAATTCATGCATCCCTGAAAAGAAAAGTTATTAGTGCTTATAAACAAAACAAAAGAGTCTGAATCGTCACCTAGTAAATCAGAATAATTAGTGAACACACTGGGCAAGGGAAATCCCCAAGGAGTGGGATGGAGAAAGAGGGGATCCAGGATGATGTGTGCATCTTGCTGTACAAGTAGCTGTCGAGCATTAGAGGTTAGGTTTCTGAGCAGATTTCAATTGTCATGATAAGACGTCTTACAAACCCGAAGGTGGTGCAGGGAAGATGATGATCTTCCAGCAGGGGATCTGGAGCAATGGCATCTTGGAGGAGGTGGATAGGGTCCCAGAGGGCTGCACCTATGCATCTTGGGGCGATGTGTCGGTGAAGGCTTTTGAAACATGGTGTCGGATCAGTCTGTCAGGAATCCAAATTGGGCCATTTGAATTCTGTGGAAAGATATAAGCATAGCCTCTCCCATTTGTTAATAACACATTAGGGCCTTTCCATGTTCCAGAAATGAGATTTTTCCACATAGCTTGAGGTTTAGAGTCCAGTTGGTCAGGATCCCAATGTCTATTAATTGTTGACATTCCCTTTACTGTAATGAACACAGTAAATGGAAGGGTACTCATCCCTAAAGGATGACAAAACCATATCCACAAATTTTTGACATCAAGTCGGACTGTTTTTCATGCCCTGAGGGAGAACTTTCTATTCATCCTATTGAAACAGCCTTTTAAAATTTACTGATGGGACACTAAATGCAAATCTTTTACAGTCTTGGGGATGTAAAGGGATGGTAAAAAAGCAATCTTGCAAATCAATAACAATAACATGTTCATCTTTAGGGATGGCCACAGGTGATGGCAAGCCTGGTTGCAAGCATTCCATATCTTGCATAGTAACATTTATTGCTCTTAAATCCTGTAACAGTCTCCATTTTCCTGATTTTTTTTAACAATAAAAATTGGGGTATTTCATGGTCCTAAAATTAATTGATCTGTATTAATTGATCCTGTATTAGGTTTGTTACAACCTGTATTTTTTTCTTCTGTAAGAGGCCACTGCTCAACCCACACTGGTTTATTATCTTTCCAGGTGACTGGGTCGGCTGCAACTTGAGCAATGGCCCCTAGGTTAAATTTTGACCGTACCCCATACCGGCCTTAGCGCTTCTGGGAACTGGCTCAATTGGAGTTGTTCTCCCATAAAGATTTTTTTTTTTAATCCTTGGTCAGGGTGAAAGCCCATTTGCAACATTTGTGATGTAACTATATTATTAGGGCTGAAAATTAATGTTTCTATTTGCGATAACACAGCTCTTCCCCATAATGTCATAGAAAGGGAAGGAATAACATAAGGTTGAGAAGTCCCGGACACCTGTCCATTATTTTTATTTAAAATTTGAGAACTTTTTGCCACATTTTGTGCTGATCCCAGTCCAACCAAAGTAAAGGGCGTGGCTTTTGTGGGCCAGGTGTTAGGCTAATTATGCCCTGCTATGCAAGTAACATCAGCACGGTGTCTAACAATTCCTTAATTGCTTTTTTTTTTTTTTTTAAAATAGACATTACTAAAACTTTTAACAAATCATGATAGTGGTTTCTTTTTAGTAATCCAGAACACAAGGAGGTGCTTTGTGTGTTTGTCACCCCAAAATACTACTTTAAACATTGCAGTTTTTTAAAATTGACTTAAAAACAGTATAGCTTAGTTTCACTTGATAATGTTAATATGACAAAAAATTTACATATGTAAGTATATATATATATACACACACACACACACTTTTTTAGTCAAGAAAAGAAAAACACTTTAAAGATACATTTAAACAGTAAATTGTTAATATTTAACATAACTTTAATGCATATATGCTTTGAATTTTATGATAAAACTTGAACTAGTTCTTGTATATCAAAAATTTTTGCTCATGATCTTAAAATTTGTTTTTATGAGAACTTATATAGGCGCCGTTTATGATTAGTCCTCCGGAGGTAAAAAACAAAACAAAACAAAAACACAAAAGCAGACACAAACAGACACAGAGATTTCTTGATATACATTTAAAATTTTGGCCATGTGTATATATTTAAGACATAGTTATTTTACCAATATGTGTGAAGATACTGAGGTTTAGAATTTTGCTCAAAAATGTCTGTATTACCACTTTATATTTTACCAGGTTAATTAGTTTTAACAAGAAACTTAACTTTTCACAGGTCCAATAAGTAAATTTAAAAGCTTTATTCAACCAATAAGTATTTTGTGTAGCTTGTTAGCAAGTCAAAAGTAACTCAACAGTTTTTGCCTAAGACAATTTAGACTTTAAAATCAGAGAAACACAGGGAAATAGAACTATTTTTGTACAATGAACCAAAATAGTTTTTTTAAGGTGGACAATAGAAAAGTTTAGTCCCCCACAGCAGGAAGACAGTAGAGACCTGCCAGTGATCCCAACACTGGAGAAAAAGTCCAGGCAGCTGCTTGTTGAGATCAAGGGCAGCCCCCACCAGCCCATTGCAGTGGGTTTATATTATTTTAATAAAAACCTTTTAGTCATATTATAGTCATATAATCTTACATAGTCATATTTAACCATTTTCTATCACTTTACCAATTGTGAATGAACTTTGAATACTATTATTTAGAAATGCCTTATTTATTTATTTATTTTAAAAGAAACAACGGCAAAACTCCACCAGGGGGAACCTAGCCTCCTCCCCAAATAATTAACAGGAAAAGATTGGAGCATTTTTTCTTTCATTTAAGATTATGACACATTATCTCTTACTTGTTTTTGAGTTTTTATTTTTATCTCAACAATTTTAGCCAAGTCGGGGCTGGAAATTTGGGCTGGATTTTGGAATGGTCTCATAATTGGGAGCCGATGCCTCTGCAAAGAGGTCAGTACTAGCTCTAGAATCAAGTTTTGGCTTTTGAAAAACAATTTCACTATCCCAAGAATCCTGATCACTTTCTCTAATACTGTTTTGTTAATACGGGGCTGTCAGTTGAGTCCTCTTTGATGTCCTTTAGGCATGCAGACAGCCATAATTTTCTTCTGTCATTTTAGAAATCAAGAACAACACATCTCAACAAAATTTAGGAAACTAGCCAATTGCGCATGAGAGGTCTTAAGGCCTCTCTTAACAAGTATACTTAGATCAATAAAGAGTCCTCTTTCCTTAGACTCAATATGGCCCAATGCTTCTCAACGATAAGACACTCACTCGCCTTATCACGTAATAAGACACTCACTCGCCTTATTACGGTTCTGACTTACTGCTCCCCTCAAACCTGCTTTCTCTACAGGCGGGTATGCGCCCTACCCTATGGAGCAGATCCTAGCCATCCCCGCACGGGAAAGAAATCTTACCTTTCAAGTCCCTGCTCCGGGCGCCACTTGCCGGGGACCAGCCTCCAGCAAAACGTCTTGTCAGGGGTTCCTGAAAGGATGAGACGGCCTAGGCGAAAACGAAAGAACTGAAAACTTAAGGGCTGAGGGGAAGGGGATGAAGTAGAATGAGGAGACACTGACACTTGGTGAGGTGCTAGTATCCTCTGCCGAGAGACTCAGCAGGTCTTTATTTATTCATTATTAGTAATAATAATAAGAAAATACATTATCATGTGTAAAGCATAAACAATTAGTATATTATGTTTCCCATAGACTACTGGCCCCTACAGGTCTCAGCTAGACGGCAGCTTTCAAGGTTAACAGATAATAAACCAAACCTAACATTAAAGCTACTTATTTTTTCATTCAGACAATTATTTAAAACAGTGAATAACCGCCAGTGCATCCCTATCAGCTAAAGCCTAAGCATCAAAGGACTATTCTATTCACATGACCTTCAGCTGGAGACCAGCTGCAGTTCAGCTATCAGAACTTTTTCTACCTAGAAATTCCTTAACTCAAATAGCTTCATATTAAAAACTTTCCCAAGAAACTTCAAGAGAAAACAAAATAGAAGGACCTGCTATGATTATTGTATTGTAATGCTTGTCAGGCATATTCAATAAGTTGTCTTCCATTGTCAAGTAGGCCAAATTGTTTAATAATTAGTTTCTAATTTTCCATGCCGTTTATTTGCAATATACTGATGCATATAATATAGTGCCTAATGTACTTTTTTGGGAAATTTTTTCTTATTTATGACCAAGAACAGAAAGTGAAGGAATGTTACATCTTCAACCTCACGGTGTGAGGCACAAGGAATCTTCAGCCCCACGGTGTGAGGCCCTTTGGCTTCGGCCCCACGGTGTGAGGCCCTTTGGGCTTCACTGCTTGCCAGTGTCTTATCTGGCTGGGACATCAAGGCCTCCTGCAGCAAAAGAGAAACCCTACCGACTAGCAGAACATTTTTGCGCACAACACTAATGATAAAGGACTGATCACAAAAATCTACAAAGAGCTGATGAGACTCAACAAAAACAAAGAAAATAATCCAGTGAAAAAATGGGCAGAAGAGCTAAAAAGAAACTTCTCTGAAGAGGAAATGCAAATGGCCAACAGGCATATGAAAAAATGTTCAACATCACTTGTAATGAGGGAAATGCAAATCAAAACTACAATGAGATACCATCTTACACAAGTGAGAATGGCACATATTAAAAAAACTAGCAACAACAAATGTTGGCAAGGGTGTGGAGAAAAAGGAACTCTCCTGCACTGCTGGTGGGAGTGCAAAGGGGTCCAACCACTATGGAGAGCTATGTGAAGATTTCTTGACCTACTAAACATAGAGCTTCCATATGATCCAGCAATTCCACTCCTAGGTATTTACCCAAAGGACACAGAAACATTAATTCCAAAGGGAACCTGCATCCCTGTGTTTATAGCAGCACTATTTACAATAGCTAAGCTATGGAAACAACCCAAATGCCCAAAAATAGATGACTGGGTCAAGAAGATGTGGTACATATACACCATGGAATATTACTCAGCAATCAAAAAAGATAAACACATGCAGTTTGCAGCAACATGGGTGGAGCTAGAAGGGATCATGCTCAGAGAAATAAGTCAGAAAGAAAAAGAAAAATACCAGATGGTCTCACTCATAGCAGGAATTTAGAAAACCTAAATAAGAGACCAGGAAAAAGACTAATCAATGCAAAGTAATAATCAAAATCAACAAGAAACTATAAACCAGAGACATACTGGTGGGGGGGGTTAGGGCGGGGCAGGGAGAGGAAGAACTAGAGTCAGAATAAGGGGGGGTGCAATTGTATGGGGGATATAACCAAAATGAAAATGCATGCATTGTACAAAGATGAAAAATGAGGTAAGAATTATATAAAATAAAATATTAAAAAAAGTGAATCCTTTATTATTCCATGTATTAGAAAGTCAGGGTCTTCAGACCCATATTAAGACCATTCTATAGGATTAGTTTGCTTTAAACATTGACGTTTCAAGTTGCCTTTAATGTTTTTCAAGGTGCTATTTGAGTTGGGGAGGGGGGCATTACTTATAAGTTTTTCCTTTATGTGTACTGGGAAATGTAGAGTTGGTTTTTCAGGGCAGTGGGGTGGTGGTGGTTATCATTCTGAATCAGATATGCATTTGTGGAAGGACATACAGTACCTTTAAAAATTTTTTTTTTTTATTTTTGTGTTGCCTAAAGCTTTACAAACATTTCATCCAGAATTGGTTTGTTTTGGTATGTTTGGCTATTGCTCTTATTAAGTGGTGATATTTTTAATCACTACTCATTTAGAACTTTTTTTAAAATTTCTCCTTTTTGACCCTGAATGGAAAAGTTAACATGTCAGTGCTGTCAGAACTGAAATAAATAAAAGCTGCATAATACCTAAGATTATTCTTCCAAATTCTTCATGACCCTGTTTTGCTTGATTGGTGTAATATATATAGTGATGTATAAACATTTCTTCTCAAAGGTCAACAATGAAGATCCTTTTAGTTCAGCCACATCAAGCTCTGTCAGCAATGTGGTCATTACAAAAAATGTGCTTGAGGAAACATCAGTCAAAAGTGAAGATGTACCCCCAGCACTGCCACCGAAGATTGGAACTCCAACGAGACCCTGCCCACCACCACCTGGTATGAGAGTTGATGCCTTTTCCTAAATCAATTATATGCTTTTTCTTTTTGAATAATGTTTGAGCCTCATTTATAGACTTACATAAAGGGCACCTTGAATGAAATGGGTCAAAAAACATGGTAGAAGCCTGCTGCTGTCATTTTTTTTTTTTATCTCAGTACAGAATTATAGACTTACCCTAAGAGGCTAACATGTGTAATGATCATGAAATACTTTTCTGGCCAGAGTTAATTTTTAAAAAACCATGTTAGAGAGATAGTTAATGAAAAAAGGAAAGAATTGATGGAAATCTCTTGCTTTTTGGACGCTCATTGGTTGCCATATGAACAACAGCATATTACTGCACTTCAGTGTTTTAATTGATTTCTGTAAGATTAATTTAAAGTCCCCTTCCTGCTAAATAAGAAGTCTTCCTTAGATCCTTTACCACAACGGTATATGACCTTTAGTATCTAGAATTTAGCAATATTGAGGTTTAAAGGAAAGGATTGTTTTTCTTGAAGGAAAATAGGGTTTTACCTCACTTAACAAGAGACTCCTTTATTTTGTAAAAGTGACTGTTTTGATCCAGGGACAAGTTCTTAATATTTTTATTGCTTTTATTTTGTTTTTAATGAAGGTAAAGTTCATGAGAAGTGACTAAAAATGTAATTCCCCAAGTAGTTGTAGTGTTTGGCTGCTAAATGAGGACACACATCTAGTATTTGTTTTGGTCACATATCATTCTTAGTAAATTTTCAGCTCCGGTAGCCCCAGTGTTTATAAATTATTATTCTTACCTTTTCCTAATAACCTGTCTTTCGATGGTATTTCTTGGGAAGATGATTTTTTCTCCTTTTATTTAAAGAATTGTATGTATAATTGTTAGTACTCAGTTATCTGTTGAAAAATCACATAAACAAGGGAGTTCTATCTTATAGGAGGAAAGTAGCTTATGTCATACATTGTTAAAAGATAAAGTTTTTATAATATATTAAAAAAAAGAGTTCGCTTTAAGTTTTACACCTGTATGATAATGCTCATAGGTTATTTTTAAAATCCTGATTAAAATAATATATTAGTGTTTTAATGAAAGCTAAGCCTCTTCAGCAAATGTTAGTGTATTTTACTATTGAAAGATCAGGGAAAGAAAGGTGGTTTGTTGGAGAGAGCACTGACCACTGGGTTCTAGTCTTGGATATGCTCTGGCTAGCTGTGTGATCCTGAGTGTGTAATTTCATAAGTCTGAGCCCCAGATGTCCAGGTGTTAGATGGTAACAGTAATTCTAATTTTGCCTACTTCACAGGGTTGTTGGAAGGATTGGTTGAGATCTGAGATAAGAAAATCTTGTAAGCTGCTGTGATGATAGAAAAATCTGTTATTGGAATTGCTATTACCTGCTTAATACATTTTAGGAAAAATATATTTTAAGATATTTAACACCTGTTCTTAACTTTTCTTCAAGAAGTACTAAGTTTAAGACAAACTTTAAAATCAGACAACTTGTTTGAAAATGGTGATGCATTAATTTTTCAACAGTATGCTATTGTTTGGTGAAAAATTAGTTTGTCAGCAACCACAAAGATTTTGGCCCTGGTCTTCAAAACATTCTCTTTATTCTTCAATTTTAATACCATAGATGGCAAAAAGTATGTGGGGTAGGCCAAGGTAATTTTTCACTTCATGCTCTCACATGTGTAGGTATCAAAAAAAAAAAATCTGAAGAATTTTGGCATTTCTCAAAGGTCATTTGCACTTACTGCTGCTAGTGGATGAATATTAAGAATCAGGTTAAGGTTGTAACAGCAGAGATCATTTTTGTCGGTATTCTGTCATTCTCTTCCTGTTATATCTTTTACTTTCTTGTTGGGAACATGCTGCTTCGGGGAAAAAATGTTTATTTACTCTCTGAACAAAAATATGATTCTTGGCCTATCCCCTTCTTCTTTGCTACTTTTTTCATTTAGCTACATAAAGCTAAATGTATTCGAGAATACATTTGAGAGGTTGTGTGTGATAAATTTGAGGACAGATAGTTGGTGTGGTCATTTAAGACCATATTAAGAATGTTTCAGGTACTCATCCCCATCCCCAGATCTTTAATAGTCCCTGTATTCATGTTCTTGTGTGTTTGTGTTTGCAATCATATTTGCTGGTTGAGTTAATTGTAATGATTTTGATCCAGGGAAAAGACCCATCAACAAATTGGATTCTTCTGATCCCTTTAAACTGAATGATCCATTTCAGCCTTTCTCAGGCAGTGATAGTCCCAAAGAAAAAGATCCTGATATGTTTTGCGATTCATTCACTTCTTCTTCTACTACTACCACTACAAATAAAGAGGCTGACCCAAGCAATTTTGCTAACTTCAGTGCTGTAAGTACTGTGAATGAATGGGCTGTTTGGGGGAAATCTTTCCATTTACAATTTGAAGAGCTTTCAAAGTTACTTTGGAGTCTGCCAATTTTGCATCATTTCAACTAAATTTACCTACATAGTGAAAATGATCTTCATTCTTCCCCCAACTCAAACCTCTGGTTCTGTTTTGATGGTTCTGTAATGATTCCATTGCACAAATGATTTTAAGTAGTCTTAGTTCTTGAGATATATACAAGTTGTTTTATAAACCCTTCTCTTGGTTTTTTAAACCATATTTAAAAAAAAAAATCCAGACAGTTACTGTTTTTTGGGTGGTTATATATGAGTGTCGTTTGCTGCTAGCTCATTGACTGAATACTGCCAGTGATGAGCTTCTGTACTTGTAACTGTATGTGTGATTGTGTATCAAGTTGCAGTGATTTCTGGAGACTAGTCAGTAACTATTATGTGAAAAGATAGCAACAGGAATTCTTTGAATAGAAAGTAAAACTCTGGTTTTATATAGTAGCACTTTATAAATGTGAAGGTCAGTTTTATAAAGTAAATATGTTGTCATGAACTAAAAATCTTTAATTATTTGGAGGACTCTAATTCACTAGCCACCTCTGTTTACTCTGCATTCTCTCAGCGCTGACTACGGTAGGCAGACCAGTAAAGACAATGGGAGGATGCTGTGAAATGGCATAGGCTTGGTTTTAAAGATCTTAGAAATGGGGCAACCTACTACAGCAGCCCTACTCGGGAGGGATAAAGAGCATTGACATATATTCCATTATTATTCAGAGAAAAACAAGGTGTTGTTTTTCTTTTTTATAGAATTCTTAGTGTAGCTAACAAAATTCATTTTCCCAGATTTTTTTTTTTTTTTTTCAGGCAAAATGC